GCAGATGAATTGCACAACAGCATGTCTTCTTCAAACCTGAAGGACTCCCATATTATTTCAAGATATCTCTTGCATTATTTTAAAATGTTTTAAAATCTGCAGGATTGCAAAATTACAATGCATATAACTTAAATAATGATGCCTGTGTTAGATCATCTTTAGATGAGAGTCTTTCAGTGATTTCAGTGCTTTTATTTGAACTGGACAAATTCTAACTCCGGGCAATTACCTTGAGATTCTATTAACTTTGTAGCTGGATTGCAAGTTCTTTCAGAGGATTGTGCAAAAGGCAATGAGAAAGTTTCTTTTAAGAAATTAGAGTTCAGAGATATGCAATGCTTAAGATTTGATTTTGAAAAACTGCTCAGAGGGTTAGGAGCATGAGTGTAAGACATATTGTGACTCATTAAAATAGTAACAGGCCTGTTTGAATCAAGTCCAAAGTATTGCAGAGTCTTGAACTCTTAAGTTTAACAGCTTGTCCCAAATAAAGAGAATTCTGTCAGTTTGGTTTCTGTATTTTGGAGACAGTGTAGTATGGTATAATGGTTCAGATGGTTATAGTGGTTGAAGTGTTGTCCTGCTTCAAATACCTTTTCAATCTTGGAGCTTCCTGGATTGCTTTGAGCTACTTTCTGTAAGTCCAAGCTCTCAGAGCTTTTATAAATATACAGTAACATGAAAGGAAACTGTATTGTGCATTGTCTTGCGCTCCCAATGGAAAGATAGCATATAAAAGTAGTAATAAAATAATTGTTTGAGCATTGTAATATATCTGGCATATTATCAGTAGAATAAACACTAATCTGAAATTGTCACTAACAATTAGCCCCTTCATTAATCTTTTATAGTTAGAGGGGAAAATGTGAACAAGATCAAGATAAAGAGAGTGAATTCTCTGTCTTCTCCCATTTTTATTGATCCCATTAAAGATAGTCACATTTGCTAATGGGGAAGTGGAGTTGCATCCAGTAGCCATGATCTCTTTATGTTCAGTGTAGATAAGAAGGGGGACCCTACTAGTCTTTGATGTACTGCTGTCAAGTTCCTTAAAATGGACTTTTGTGAAGGAGCCTGATGTACATATACTGATAATTACATAGGGTCCTTTTTGTGAGTGCTGGGCCAGTGGGGAGGGATAACTGAGGTGTTCTTTCAGTGTATGAGAGGCTTCATCCACAACTTCCAAGTATAATCAAAACATAAAACCTTTCTTCCTATGTTAGTGGCTTTCTCCAGTTGTTTGCCACAGTTTCTGTTCTTCATGGCATACTATCCCTGTTCACATAAATGCCATTTAGTTATTTTGGCTAACCATTTATTTATGTCTATCCTTCATGCTTTTGTCTAATACTTTTCAAAAACATTGGCACTAGCACTCGTTATCATTTCTTGTAACAGAGAATTTCATACATTTAATTATTGCTGAAATGTTATTACTTGAATATTTAACAGAATGTTTTCCCTACAGTCACCTGAGTATTAAAATTTGCTAAATGGATCCTTGTCTGTTTCCCAGTTGGGATTACTGCATTTTGAGAAAATATGGGAGAGGATCTTCTTGGATATAGAATTCTAATTAAGAAATGCCCTACTGCATGAGATAAAGCTGGCAACTACAGTGATTTTATTTCCATGCTGTGAAAATCTAGCTATTCAAATCTTTGGTCTCAGAAACATGTTTAGTTTGTACTTTTGTATTTTTATGATTTTATTCATGTTTTTAATGGATTATATTTCAGAAGTATTGATAGGACAGATTATAAATAAATAAGTAGTACATGTTGATGCAAAAATCCCTCTTCTTGTTAGTTATTTCCCAGAAAATGCCACAGCAGAGATGTTAGATGAATGGCGGCCATTAATGTGCCCTTTTGATGTTACCATGCAAAAAGCTATCACTTATTTTGAATTGTTTCTGCCTACCACTCTTCCTCCAGATTTCCACCACAAAGGTTTTAGGTGAGTTGATCTTACTACTTTGCAGCATTTTCGTATAATGATCTATTTCATATAAAGCTGATGTTTGTGAATTTGAGCTTAACTAACACATGTAATAACTACCATTGTACTGCCTTGATACTTCTATTTTGAATGCTAAATTTTAAGGGGTAACATCTTTCTAGTTCGCCTAAAAGTTCAGAATTCAGCAGTCATATAACTGATAGTGGTTTTTTTTTCATTTAAAATTATTTATTGAATGAAAAGCAGTATCATTCTACCAAATCATTGCTTAGTTCAGTTCTTGATACAGTTCTGGTGCTAGAAATTCTGAAATGTTATTAGTTTGATGTACCAACCATAATAAATATTTGAGTCTGAAACAAAATTATATTGAAGTTCTGAGCCTTAACAGACTAGTCCTCTCAGTGTTTTACCTTTGGTTCAAGCTCCTGGACCTCTCTCCAGGTGAGGTGAGGCTGCTCATTTGCCAGAATCTCAAGAAGAGGGAAATGCTCATTACACCAATAATGCCTTGTCTTTTACAAAAATCAAAGTAAGCTTGAAATGCCTTCTAAGCTTAAATGGCCTTTTGGAATGCTTTGCACGAGTGTGCAGCAGTCTGCCTAATTAAGTTCCCGTCGCTGACATGGTTGAATAAGTTTGGCATCTTTGGCACACTCAGTGTAATGTGTAGCTTGTCAGTAATATTAAACTTCAAAGATTTAAAAAATAATATGGTGAATTCAGGTTTTTTAAATCTCCTTGTGACGTCCACATTCGGCCAAGGCTTCCTGCTGGTAGTTCACATATCCATACAGACACCCCAACAAACACTTTGTTTTAGTAAGCAGTTAAGTAGAAGGTGAGAATAACTAAGATAGTTTAATTTCCCATAAGAAAATGTCTCTGTAGGAGCTGGATTCCTTTTTTCAGAATGGAAAGGAAGAAGTAGGAGAACTTTGATGGAGCAGGCATAATGACTGGCATCTAATATGGATCTAGACAGCAGTGGCTTTTGAAAATGGGTTATTTTAATGAAGAGTAATGTTGGCTGGTTGTCCTAAATTAGACTGGATGGTATATCATGTTGGATGACACACTGCTGAAGACTTGTTGGCTTGAGTGCAAGTCCAGAGAAGATTGCTAAAGAAAGTAATTGGGTGAGATTCAGAAGAAGACTCACTGAAGACAAGAAGAGGAGGCTGTGCTGTGGGCCTGCTACTCAATGCAGATGAATGTCCAAGAAGTGTAGGTAGATGAAAGAGGTCATGTTCTGCCAACCAGAGTCAAGAACAGTAGCCTGTGCCAGTCTGCGACAGAAAGAATACTGCCATGTCTTTAAAGTAGGATATAAGTCTGGTGTTAGAAACAGCCTGGTGAGATTAACATAACTTGAAAATGCAGCTAGAGGAAATTTAGGCTGCAATCTTGAGTACAGAAAAATTATGTTGCAATGCCTTCTTAATCTCAAGCCATTCCAATGAGTTGGAGCAGAGATGATCTTGCCTTGTCTACTAATAAATAATCTTTGCTAACTTGCTAAAGAATATGGTGAAATCAAAAGTAGCTTGACTACTTTGATGTGTTTTCTAAATAAATGGAAAAAAGTCCCAAAGAGGTGATTTTGGCACTGCGTTATTCACCAAATACTGGGAACTTACAAAAGCCCCCGTGACACTCCTTTTGTTACTAAAGCATGCTTACAGAAACTGGACTGGACTATATGAGAAGTGCCCAAGAAACTTTGGGCTTAGAATTTCTCAGACACTAGCAATATGTCAAATACTGTGGGACCTATTGCTTATTATGGGAAGTGGGAATTTTAAAAAGGCAAGCTCAACAATAAGGATTTCCAGCCCCTTTGGGCTGCTAAGTACATTTTAAATCTTAAAAAAGTAAACTGGGATCTGGGCTACTCAACAAATTTCTTTAGAAGTACATAGCCAATAATGAAAAGTGATGAACCACCTCCCTTTCTCTGTGTGCAGTTTGCATATATGTGTGCACTTAATGTCTCTAAGTATTCTCTTTTTGGGTTTTCCCCCTGACATTGTCCTGTTGATACGGCCTCTTTCTTTAGTTTTGCACTTCTCTCTAGATTTGTTTTCTTCTCTGCACATTATCTTTTCTAAATCCTATTTCATATTTTTCTACTGCCTCTGCTAGTCCCCATGCACTTTGCTGCTATATTCTTTATCGCCTTTCCCAGGTCCCATGCAATTTCCCCACTTCTTAAGGTTCCTTAGCTTACTTGGTGTCATAGACCATTCTTCTATCTTGCTATCTTGCCCTCCCCTCCCCCACCCCCAGTTCCTTGATGGATGTGCATGCTGTATGAAGAAGCCCCAACCACTAACATACTTTTTTTTGCTTTGGAATGTTTCTGGATCTGTTTGAGAGCATGAATAATTGAAGATTGGGAGAAGAGGAGGTTTAAAAAAAAAAAAGTTTGAAGGGGTTGCCTACTTAATAAGTGCACTGCATTGCCAGTCTCCTTTCAAAATATTATTAATATTTATAGACACTCTTTGAATTTCAGTCATGATTTCAGGACTAAGTGGTATCTTTCATACCTAAAACTTACTTTCCTTTGGCTTTCAAATTCTTACAGAAAATTAGACAGGAATTAAATTACTGAAAGGTGGCATGTGAATGGAGTAGATATATACTAGAGGAAGCTCCTCACAATGTACAGAGGTTTCCACCCCAAGTCCAACAGCCAGAGACTGTACACCAGCCAGAAAGAGGGCAGGCGGGGTCTGGTGAGTGTCAGAGCCACTGTCCTGGGTGGACCCCAGAGCATCCAGGAGTATATCAGTAAGATGGCACCCAAAGATGAAATGCTGAGAGAATGCCTGAAACAGCAGCAGACATGGGAGGAAGTGCCATGGCAAGACAAGTCCCTGCATGGGATGTACCATCGACAGATAGCTGAGGTGGCTGACATTGGGAAATCCTACCAGTGGCGGGAGAGGGCGGGACTAAAAGACAGCACGGAGGTACTGATCATAGCAGCACAAGAACAGGCACTAAGCACCAGATTCATAGAAGCAAGATCCAAGGTGCAGACTGTGCAGAGAGGTCTCAGAAGCAGTCCAACACATAGTTGCAAGGTGTAAGATGCAGGCAGGAACAGCATA